AGAAATCTTGAATGTGTTGCCAAGACAGACATTGCTAGTGGGAGGGGAGAGGCTTGAGAATTCTCTAAGTGGACACAACATGGAGTCAGGACAAGATGATGTTGCCTTAGTTCCTTCGAGGGCAGGCGGCAAAGAAGAGAGACCCAGCAGAAGGGAGAAGTCCAGGGATTCACAGCTATAAAGGGAGGGGCATCATGAATGTCCCTATACCTAGAGGTAAAGATGATCTTTATCACTTTTACTCCTGACACTGCACACATTGGGCAACCTTTTGGGTTGAATCCAGTGTTCAGAAAGATGACTCTATAGGGAGATTACACCAGGTTCTGCAAAGGAATGGAATTGAGAACTGCAGAGAAGGCGCAGATGGTAGTTGGAAATGAAAGTACGATAATCTCCAGGGTCTTCGAAGGGAGTGGCTTGGTGTGACAAGCATTCCTGGACTTAGAGCAGCAGCTCTGGGGCTGGAGAGGTGAAGTGTGCAGGAGACAGGGATACGGGAGGAGAGGAGGAGGTTCCAGGGTCTGCCTGGGCAGCATCCTTCCTTCTTTTTCCAGAAATCTGGGGTCTGCTGGCCACACTGGATTCCTGAGCGGTCCTTGTCTTCTGTTATTGTTTCAGATCCAGAAGTTGGGGAGCCTGGACAAGGTGGTATCCTGGTCCCAAGAGTTCCCCTATGCCCATCCACTCTGGCTTGGACAATTCGTTGGTTATCTGAACATCTATGAGCCTGACTATGCAAAAGCTGTGTACAGCCGCGGAGGTGAGGTACCTTGGAGAGAGGGTGGGGTTTCCTGGGAATGATAGGCTCAGGTACCAAGTTGGGGAAGGTCAGGGCTTGTGTCTAAAGTCTTGGATGAGAAAGATCAAATCTCTACCTCTTTCATCCCTATGCCTCTCATCTGGGAATATTGTGTTTCTCCTTGACTGACATCCGTTTGTTCTGCAGACCCAAAGGCTCCAGATGCTTATGACTTCTTGCTCCAGTGGATCGGTAAGTTAGCATCTATCTTTCTGTACTTTGCTTTTGCTCCATTGTGCTAAGTGACCAGAATTCTGCCCTGCCACACTCAGCTGGTTATCCCTCCAGTGTACTGCTTTGCTCCTGAATGCCTGTCCTGAGCTTAGCATCTCTGTGGAGAGGCAGGGGAGCCCATTGCAGGAGCTAGACTTTGCCGTGCTGGATATTTTTCTTCCTCCCTTCCAAGCAGGGGTAAGGCAATGTGTATTTGAAGAAAAGCTTCCTAGAGGAGGCAACCTTGGAGCTGATCCCGTAGGATATTATAGTGATGTGTTTCCTGGAAGAAGGGTCTGAGAAAAGGTGTAATCGTCATAGAATCATGGAGGCTGCAAGCTGTCTGAGTGATTGAAAGGCAGACTTCAATTAGTAGATGAGGCTTGTCAGGGAAGATGGACCAATGTTGGCTATCAGTATGTAGACTGATGTTGAAAGTGAAGGGAGTCACTGGGTCATCTACTTCTTTTAATTAATTAGTTGATTAATGAATTTATTTCGAGACAGGGTTCTCACTATGTTGCCTTAACAATTCTCTATCAGGTTGGCTTTGAACTCATAGAGATCCACCTGCCTATAACTTCTGAGTGAGTGCTGGGATTGATAGTGTACATTAATAGGTACTACCATACCTGGCCTTATTCTTACTTTTACTTTTATTTAATCTCTATGTTTGTCTTTGTAGATATATGCCACTTGTGCATAGGTACTTAGGTTGGATCCCCTAGAAAAGGACTTATCTCTGGTTGTGAGCTGTCATGTGTGCTCTGGAAATTGGCCCCAGGTTTTCTGTAAGAGCAGTAAGGGCCCTTGATCACTGACCCGTCTCTCTAGCCACCTCTGAGTCTTCTTGATCCAGGGCCACATCCAACTCCAAAGTTCCTATTATTTATTTATTTACCCTGGAAGCGAAGAAAGGAATGGTTAGTAGGGAGGTAACTATCAATAGTCTAGACTATTGACTTAGAGGTCCTGACCAGTGGGGGCCAGAGGTCTATACTGGTTCTTGTAGTGCCTCCCCACAGGGTTTTCCAGGTTTGGGAGTGGTAACTGCTGTGGTTGATCCCAGCTCTCATGGATAGATGAGGATTGCCTAGACTCCATAGCCTCCATCTCTCTTCCCTTCTCAGGGAAAGGCTTACTGGTTCTCGATGGGCCCAAATGGTTCCAGCACCGCAAACTGCTCACACCTGGCTTCCACTATGATGTGCTGAAGCCCTATGTGGCCATATTTGCCGAGTCCACACATCTCATGCTGGTGAGTCCCCTCCCTGCGGCAGGCTCCTGGAATTGTGGGCTGCCAAGCTAGGCTTCTCTACCCATCCTATTTGCCTTGGTTGAGGGTGAGCGGTGCTCTCTTCTGGAGAGAGGGTCTCTGTCCTCATTATTCCTGCAACAATTGTGCCAAAGAATTTTTAAAGTATATCCTCATGATTCTATTGATTTATGTTGTTATACCCCCTTCATCTCTAATTTTAATAATTTGGATATTTTCTCTCTGCCTTTAGTTAATTTGGATAAGGCAGTAGTTCTCAACCTGTGGGTCATGACCCCTTTGGGAGTCGAATGACCCTTTCACAGAGGTCACATATCAGATATCCTGCATATCAGATATTTACATTATGATTCATAGTAGTAGCAAAATTATAGTTATGAAGTAGCAATAAAATAATTTTATGGTTTTGGATCACCAAAACATGAGGAAGTGTATTAAAGATCACAGCATTAGGGAGATTGAGAATCACTGGGATAAGTGTAAGTCAACCTTAATGATCTTTTTTCAAAGATGCAGCTCTTTGCTTCATTGATTTCTTTTATTTTTTGTTTATTTTTATTTTATTCATTTCAGCCCCAAGTTTATTTCTTGCCTTTTATGCTTTTGGGTGTGATTTCTTCATTTTGTCCTAGAGTTTCATGTGTGCTGCTCAGTTACTAGTATGAAATCGCCACGACCTCATGGTGATGCATAGATTAATGGAGATCAGTTAAACTAAGATGTAAAAGTTAGCAAATAAGAAGCTAGAGCTAATGGGCCAAACAGTGATTTAAATAATAATATTAAAAAGAAATCTCTCCATTTCTTATGTAAGCATTTAGTGCTATGAACTTGCGTTTTAGAACTGCCTTCATTGTGTCCTGTAAGCATGGGTATAATCTTTCTAAATTTCTGTCTTGGCTCATTTTTTATTCAGCAATGTGTTGTAATTCAGTAGTGTGAGTTTGTAAGCTTCCTGTTATTTCTGTTGTTGCTGATATCCAGGTTTAGTCTGTGGTGGTCTGACAGGATGCTGGGTGTTATTTCAGTTTTTCTGTATTTGTTGAGACTTGCTTTGTGTCTGAGTATGTGTTGTTTTAGAGAATGTTCTATGAGGTACTGAGAGTAAGGACTATTCTTTTGTGTTTGGTGAAACGGTCTGTAAATGTGTTGAGTCCATTTGGTTTATAATTTGGTTCATAGATGCTAAGAATTGAAAGGTCCTGTTGTGTATTTTGTCTTTGATGAGCATAGACTGTCCTTCCCTATCTCTTCTGATTAGTTTTGCTTTGAAGTTTATTTTGTCAGATATTAAAAGTGCTACATCAGTTTTCTTCTTAGATCCGTTTGTCTGAGATATTTTTTCAACCCTTTACCCTGAGGTAATATCCATCCTTGAGGTTGAGGTGTGTTTCTTGGGTGCAGCAGAAGGGCCCTGTTTTCACATCCATTCTGCTAGTGTGTGTCTTTTTCCTGGGAAATTGAGACCATGAATGTTGGGCGATATCAGTGAGCATTTTTTTCCTCTCTCTTTAGATTTGCTGGCCTGGGATTATTTATTCCTTGTGTTTTTTTCCAGGTGTGATAAACCGCTTTAGATTGAAGTTTTCCTTGTGTACCTACTATGGGGATGGATTTGTAAATAGATACTGCTTAAATTTGGTTTTATCACACAATGTCTTGTTTTCTCTATTTAGTGTGATTGAAAGTTTTGTTGGGTGTAGTATTTAGACGTGGTATCTGTCGTCTCTTAGAGTTTGTAAAACATCTACCCAGGCTGTTCCAACTTTTAGAGTCTGCACTGAGAATTCAGATGTACTTCTTATAGATCTACTTTTATATGTTACTTGACCTTTTCCCCTTGCAGCTTCTCTCATTCTTTCTTTGTTCTATATATTTAGTGTTTTTATTATTTTTATGTGCTTTCATTTCTGGTCCAATCTATTTGGTGTTCTGTATGCTTCTTGTATCTTCATAGGCATCTCCTTCTTAAGAGCAGGGAAATTTTCTTCTATGATTTTGTTGAGAATATTTTCTGTGCCTTTGAGTTGTGATTCTTATTCTTCTTTTATTCCTGTTATTGTTGAGTTTGGTATTTTCATAATGTCCCAGATTTCCTGTATGCTTTGTGCTAGGAGTTTTTTTTATATCTTATATTTTATTTGCCTGAGGTATCCCTTTCTTCTATCTTGCCTCAAATGGCTGAGATTTTCTCTTTTGTCTCTTGTATTCTGTTAGTAAGTCTTGCCTATGAGGTTCCTGCTGAAATTTCTAAAATTTTCATCTCCAGACTGCCCATAGTTTGGATTTCCTTTATTCTATTTCCACTTTCAGGACTTGAATGATTTTGTTCATTTCCTTCCACTATTTATTTATGTCTTCATAGATTTCTTTAAGTGGTTTATTAATTTCCTCTTTAAGGACATCTATCATATTCGTAAATGATATTTTTATGGTTTTTATCTCGTGCTTCAGCTATGGGCCTGCTGTTATAGGGTTGCTGGGCTCTAGTGGAGACAAATAGTTCTGGCTGTTATTGATTGTGTTTTCATGCTGGCTACTAACCATCTGGGTTTGTGAAGACTGCAATTCTAAGTGCTCTTGTCTTTGCTGTGGGTGTTTTGTTCCTTAGTTTCTGTTGCCCTTTCTGGTTCTTATGAGGGTGTGGTGGCTGTGTATTGCCTGGTAGAGAATTCTTCTCAGATTCTGATAGGCATTGCCAAGGGAGAGGGATCCTGGTAAAATGTGTTTCTGTGTATTGGGAACTTAGGAATAGAGAAGGCCTGGGAGGAATGAGGGAGTCTACAGGAGGGAGGAATTCAGGGTGTAACAGCAGGATGTGCTTTAGTCCCTTGGGAATAGGGCCAAGAGTGAGGAGAGGCACCAGAGCCTGCTGGAAACCTGGGGCTGAGACTGGGGTCTTGGACTTGGAGGAGGTGTGAGAGTGGAGATCAGAAACTCAACCACCTTCTTTGGCTTATGTACTTCTCTGGCAGGCTTGCCTGGCGGGTTCCCAGGAAGTGCCTGCTGAGGCTGGGCACTGGAATAAAGCCATGAGTTGGGGGAAGGGTGTTTGGAGGAGACTTGTGTGATCCACTGACTATGCAGGCAGGGGGAATAGGGGAGACCACAGCAAGTGGTCTGCTACAGAGCCAGGGATGAGAGTGGGGGAATGGATTTGGAGGAGTTGAGACAGAAATGAAGATCTGTGTTTAGCCTACCAGCTTCGCTGGCCAGGCAGCCCAGTTCTTCCACATGTTACCTCCTCTCTCTCTCTCTGAATTCCAGGACAAGTGGGAGAAAAAGGCTAGTGAAAATAAGAGCTTTGACATCTTCTGTGATGTAGGCCATATGGCGCTGGACACCCTCATGAAGTGCACCTTTGGTAAAGAAGACAGTGGCCTAGGACACAGGTCAGAGGCAACTCTACCCAAGGCTCTCAGATAAGGAAGGTGGAAGGGTGCTTGCTCTCTGGTTGGAGAGGTCCTACCTTAATTTACCCAGGCCCTACTCATGGTGGAAGATACGTTGGGTGTTAGTGAGGAGGTTTAAGGAGGCAACAAGAGGAGCAGGAAGTATTTTAGAAGGGATTCCTAAAAGAAATCTGCTCAGGCCTCTTCTTCTCCCTCTGCTCTTTTTTGTACAGAGACACCAGCTACTATACGGCAGTCAGTGAGCTCACAGAGCTGGTGCAGCAGCGCCTGGAATCCTTCCAGTACCATAATGACTTCATTTACTGGTGCACTCCACATGGCCGCCGCTTCCTGCGGGCCTGCCAGATAGCCCATGACCATACAGGTGGGCCTCTCCTTCAACCCCCTCTCCCCTTGGTGCCTATGCCAACTAGGAAACCTTGGTTCTTCCTCTGGCACAGGATCAAAGCAGGCAGTGACACCTATGCTCTTGGTCTAGATCAGGTCATCAAGCAGCGGAAGGCAGCCCTGCAGGATGAGAAGGAGCAGAAAAAGATCCAGCAGCGGAGACATCTGGACTTCCTGGACATTCTCCTGGGTGTTCGGGTGAGTGCATGGTGCCCACCTTACCTGACAGCTGGTCCCTGGGAGGTTTTTAGACTCTCCTTCTAAGGAAGACTCCTCGCTCAACAAATATAACCTACTGCTTGCCCAAGGCACAAATCAACGAAGGTAAAATGTGCAGCATACGTGTGATTGGGCTGCCACACTAGGGAGCTGACAGCCTGGTCACATGGGGGCAGCTTGCAGACATTTCTAGACTTCCATGATCCTTAAAAATCTTGGCATTGCAGAACTTTAAGGTTTATATTTTATTTCATTTCCTTCCTTCCATTCTTCCATCCTTCCATCCTTCCTTCCTTCCTTCCTTCCTTCCTTCCTTCCTTCCTTCCTCCCTCCCTTCCTCCCTCCCTTCCTTCCTTCCTTCCTTCCTCCCTTCCTTCCTTCTATCCTTCCTTCCCCTACATCCTTTCCTCTGTCCATCTCTTCTTCCCCCTTCTCCTACCCTTCCCTCCTCTATTCCACAAAACTCAGTGCCTATCCTGAATCAATTTCTGGGCTAGGAGGCAGAGGTAAGAAAGAACTGGCATGGCCATCCATCTGCATATAGTATAGTGACCGGGTTAGGCGAGGTAGTGGGTGGATGTTGACAAAGATGTTTTCCCTGTCAACGAGAAGCGGTGTCCCTGATGAGCAATACGGGGGCTAAGTAAAGTTAAAGGTCATGTGTCTAGAGGGCTCAGGAAGGGTTTTATGAATGGGAGACATCTGGGTTAGGATTGGAAGGGACAGAGGAAACTGGAGGAAGACTCCAAGTCTACCAACAAGCGTTCATATGCTTCTTCAGATCTATATCTGACAGCTACTCTTGGGCATTCTTTTTAGCCCTTACTCAAAGGCCTTGAGCTGTCCCATTGTGCTTCCTCTCAGGATGAAAATGGGACCAAGATGTCAGATGCAGATCTCAGGGCCGAAGTGGATACATTCATGTTTGAAGGCCACGATACCACCACTAGCGGCATCTCTTGGTTTCTCTACTGCATGGCCCTTTATCCTGAGCACCAGCAGCGATGTAGGGAGGAGGTCCGTGAGATCCTAGGAGACAAGGACTCTTTCCAGTGGTGAGTGGACCTGAAAGTGAGTTCAGCTCCTCTTGCTCAGCCCAGGGAGGGGTTGTGCCTATCCTGCCAGTGCCTGCCAGGGACAACCCACACCTCTTCTGGAAACGAGGTGATGTGGGCAGCAGTTGTTCCCTCTCTTTGGTTCTGTAGCTTTCTTGGGGGGGGGCGGTTAACAAGAGAGACCCCCCAGACCAATCTCCCCAAATGGAGGCTTTTCAGTGTCACATAAAATTGTCAAGAGAGGCTGAATTTCATAATGACAGAATATGAATCCCTACTGGACTTCTGGATAGAGTAGAGGGGCCTGAGAAAGAGGAGGCAGTGGGAGATGACAGAGGACGAACAGCTGGGAAAAAGTCACTGCCTTGCCACTTGCCACCTGTCTTTGTATGGCAGCACATGGGCCCCAGACTCCACATCTTTCATCATGGTGAAGGAGGCAGATCCTCAACGCCACCATTTAAAAATTTCTGTGTGTTCATCCTTGTTTCTCAACTCAAGACTGAAGTCCTGAATGTGAGACCAGCTGAACCAATTTCTCTTTCAGAGTGGTCTCTGAGAGTTCCACCCAGACCTCTTCTGTTGCTTCCTCCTCTGAGGCCTTTGTAGTCTGACAGTCACCCCATCCTACTGAGTTCCTAGTCTGCCTCCTACATGGAGCAGGACACACAGTAGGGATAGAGGAAATGCCCATCAGTGTCTACAGTCCTGTTCTCCTAAGGGGGAACTGATCACTAATTCCAGTGTCAGAGATTTGAAGGATGGAGTCTCCATAGCTAATGTGTACTTGCTGGATGTTGGAAACTTTCCAAGGGGTGCAGCCATGGGCACAGTGCTCCCTGGAGTGTGTTGTAAGTGTGAAGAGGAAAGGAGGAGACAATTCGCTGCTCCTGGAGAGTTTTCAGAAAGTCAGACTCACATGACTGAAATCCAAAGAAGGCTGCAGGATGGAGTAACACTGAGTGATGAGGATGTTGAGGGTAGAGGGTGAGGAGGGAAGGACTTGAATGGACTTTATAAAGAAGGTTAAACTCAGGAGAAGAGAGCTGTACTCTCTAGATAGATCATCATGGACATGTCTGAGGCTGGGAATTAAATACTTTTTTTTATTATCCCTTAGTTTTATCCAGAATTGGAAGCGACTTAGAGGATCCTTATTTAATAAAAAGAATATGAAATGAAAAATCATATTAGGGGGAGAGTGACTTGAAGTTTGGGGTTCTGTAAGAAGGTATTACATAGTTCTGATGATTGAACCTCACATTTGGGCCTGAGCTTTCTGGTGGCCAAAGAGGGTATTTATAAGAGTTTGTCAGTATTCAGCCATGGACATTGGTTCACTCACCTAACACTATCAGATCACCTTCTCCAGTCCAGTCCCATAAGGAATGCCACTTGTGGGACTTTTGATGAGGCCCCAAATGACAAAAAAGTGGCCTTGTCTTTGCGGGTTGGTTGCCCATATGTCTCTCGGATCCTGTGCCTTCTCTTCCTAGATAGCTAGGTTTGTATGACCACCCAGTGTTATGTTATACTTAGATACTTGAACCCCCCTTGGCTCCTCTGTTGCAAATGTGGTGGGGGCAGAAAGTGAAAATCATGGGGAAATAGGAAATGTGGCCTACCTTCTCCTTGGATCCCACTGTTCCCAGTTCCCAAGTGTCCTGTGTTGCTGGCAGGGATGATCTGGCCAAGATGACCTACCTGACTATGTGTATGAAGGAGTGCTTCCGCCTCTACCCACCTGTGCCCCAGGTGTTCCGCCAGCTCAATAAGCCAGTCACCTTTGTGGATGGCCGCTCTCTGCCTGTAGGTGGGTTGGGGAAACAGTTGGGGTGGAATGAAAGTCCTCTCTACGCTCTGATATTGCCTGCGCCATTGGACATTCTTGACATTAGGCTTTGTGTGCTGAGTCCTGGGCCCAGGCACCAGCCTCACTGAGAGAACTTGTCTGCCCCAAACCTCCACTTCCTCTTCTGTAAAATATGACTGAGGGTATAAATATAAATGTTCATTTTCCCCTAGGTTTCAGGGTTGTTATGTGGATTCATCTTTCTGTAGATTGATGTAGCAAGAACTATTTTTTTTGTCTTCCAAAAGATTCTGACATGAATTATTTCTTTGAGGCAGTGACTGTGGAGGTTGGATTTTCCATTTGACCGTTGCTGCAGTAGGACCCAGGCACGGCTAATCACTGGGTACAGTTGCTGCATTGTTCTCAGGAGGAGAGGAGTTCTTGTAACCTGAAGTTTTTCTCTTTTTCTTTTGTTTAAAACTATATAAAATCACTCTACTATGGTGCTACTTAACAAGAAGATTGTAATGACATGCATAAAATAAAACAAAAATAAATTGAGGATAGGAGGGTAGGACAGAATATATTTTTCATAGTTGACAGAGTTAAAAAGAGAGAATGGTCATCAGGGTTTTCATGTATCCTGTGCCTACTCTGACTGCACCCTGGACAACACCAGGAGACGAGTCACATAGACTACGATGCAGCCTCTGTACAGCGTGACTGCTCTGTGTTGTCGCTTCATAAAAATGTTCAGACCTGAGCGTGACATGGAGCAAGCATCAAATGAAGGGTATCTCATTATTGTTCATAGCATAATAAATTTCTGAGAGCTAGTCATTTGACAGTCAAAAGGCTACAATAAACAGCTGCTGCCTATATGACTTCATGGTGGTCTGGGTTCACTGTTCTTGTTTCCATTCCACAGATATCTGCGTTAGACACTGTTCTCAGTACCTGGCTACAGGAGCTGTTGATTATGATGATTAAATACTTTGAATGTGACCAAGACCTCAGTGTCACTGTCAGTGCACAGACAGAGGCTAGTGTTCCAAATAGGAGGACATCAGGGAATTCAGCCTAATGTGGAAGTGAGCCTGGCTGCCTCATGACCCCTTGTCATCAACCTCCTTTTTGCTTACAGGAAGCCTGATCTCTATGCACATCTATGCCCTTCACAGGAACAGTGCTGTGTGGCCTGACCCAGAGGTACTGCATCTCTGGGCTTTGAGGGTAGACAGGGAGTGGACTGTGGGGTTTCCTCTGCAAGGATTAGGTGAGTATTTAAGAAAGTACTATCTCATAGGTCTTTGACCCATTGCGCTTTTCTCCTGAGAACGTGTCAGGACGCCACCCCTTTGCCTACATGCCTTTTTCTGCAGGACCCAGGTAGGAAGAGGGACAACATTCTCAGGCCCTAAAGACTGGGAGTGAAAAATTGAAGGCCATCACGGGAGAGACATCATTATGGAGCATGCTGTGACGGGGGGGGGTTTGTTATTTTTCCTGTTCCTGGGAAATGGGTGGAATAGATGTTCCCTTCTGTGGGAGACTGTAAGCCAGAATTCCTAGTGGGACGATACCCTCTGGGACCCTTTACATGCTAAGATTTGCCTTTTAAGCCCACACAAATCAATCAATCAATCACTATGCATCCACAAATAGTTACTGCTTTTTTGTGGGCCTCTAAGAACACTGGGTAGCCAACAGCTTGATGCCTCTTTTTGCCTCTTGCTGCAGGAACTGCATTGGGCAGCAGTTTGCCATGAACGAGATGAAGGTGGTCACAGCCCTTTGTTTACTGCGCTTTGAATTCTCTCTGGATCCCTCAAAGCTGCCCATCAAACTTCCCCAGGTGGTCCTGCGCTCCAAAAATGGCATCCACCTCCACCTCAAGTCACTGGGCTCTGGGAAATAGGTCTTTGGAGATCATGACTTGGACAGTACAGGCTGTGGCTTTTTCTGGGACATTGCCCTTTTAGATTAAGTGTGGAGTTGTCATGGATCCCAGCTTTTGGGGGCTTAAAGATGTGAAAGCATTGGAACTGACAGTCTCATGGAAGGCAGTCCCTTGTAAACACGTGTGTCTAATGACTCAGTGCCTGGACTCTGGAGCTCATTTCTTTACTCCACAAACATTTG